GTGACTCCGTGTGTGACTGGGGCAGGCCAGGCCGAGGTCACTCGTCCGTGGTGCCGTGGATCACGTTTCTGCACGTGAAAGCATGTGCTGGAAATGCAGCTGGGTGCTGGCACAGGTGTGAGTGACGGGGGGACCAAACCCCGTTGTGTGGGGGTGGAAGAGCTGGATTGGGGCTGGGGCCACTGGTGCAAGTGTCACCCCAAGGCTGATTTGCTACTCAGAGCTGAGTCTGAGATGTGGGCAAGAGCAGGGCCAACTGCAGTGAACCTGAGGGGCCGCAAGGCTTAACTGTGCGGGGATTTGTTTTGGATTTTTTATTATTATTACTTAAGCTGCTGTCAAATCCTCCCTCTTATTACTGGAGAAGAAAGAAAAATAAGGTTTAGCAAGACCAGAAGGTGCTATTCTGCTTGTTCTTGTGGTTTGTGGTGCTCGTGATTGATAATGGCCGAAACACCTTCCTAACCCGAGGCTGGGAGCGCACAGGGGTGGCTGCTGCTGCGTTCCCGCGTTCAGCCGCGGCGGGAGGGACTGTCGGGTTTCCTGCCCCCTGAGGACCCGTGGAGGCGGCCGTGGCCCCACGGGACCTGCTCTCACCTCGAGCAGGGCGGCTGCTGTGGCCCTGGTGGTGTCAGCTGCGCTGAGCTGCACTAAACCTTGTAGTGTAACCTTGTTGACACAGGAGCCAGCCGGGCGCTCCTGGGTTCCGCAGAGCTTTGCAAACACCTTTTCTGAAGCCGGGCCGCGAAGCGCCCTGGAGGCTGCTGCTGAAGGCGGGTTAAGCTCCTTCCTGCAGCACCCGGTGCCTCTCGGGGCAGCTCCCCAGCTCCCACATGGGGCTGTTGCGGCGCCGGCCCTGCTGCTCCCGTCCGGCCCCAGGACAGAGCTGCCAAAACCCCCCTGCACGAGGGCCAGGAGCAGAGCCTGGGCGCTGCCGCCAGGTCCTCCAGCTTTGCTGCCAACACGTGCGCCCTCCTGGGATCTTAACTGCCTCTTCAGCAGCAGGAAACAGACATCTGTGTGAACATGTGGGAGAGGACGGTGCATGCGAACATGGTGGGGTGTGAATTTCACTAGGCTGGGTTAAGTTGACTGAAGGTAATACTTCTTCTGCATCAAGAAGAAACATTTTAGTCTTTGCTCTGAGTGGTAATTCAATGCTGTGCAACAAAAATCCATAGCTAACAAGCATACAGGTTCTTATATTCTTAGCATGATAGTATGAAGATGCAGCAAATGCAGCATTAAGAGCTGGTCTTCATTTCTGTCACACTGGTATGTGGAATCCTGGAGCTGAGGTGGCTGCCAGAGCCCCGCTCCCTGTTCGGGCACCCGGGCTGGCCGTCCAGCCCCGGGCCGCTCCTGCTCACGTCCAGCTGTTTTTGACTGGTCAGTGTAAAACTGGTAGGTTGTTTCTGTCCTCATTAAGCACAAGGGATTTGCTGAGATTGTATCACTTACTTAAACAGTTCAACTTTAGGCTGCGGTACTCTATCTCTGCCAAACTGCGTTTTAATATAATTTTAACTGAATATGCATGAATGCAACTGCATGCGCTTTAAAGCAACGCTCCTAACGAGCCAAGGGAAGGGGCTGCAGCGGGGCTGCATGG